AAGAAGAAGAAGAAGAAGAAGAAGAAGAAGAAGAAGAAGAAGAAGAAGAAGAAGAAGAAGAAGAAGAAGAAGAAGAAGAAGAAGAAGAAGAGAAAAATAAATTTTAAAACAGAAGAAGAAGCAAAAAAAAAAAAAACAAGACAAGTGCACCTCAGCCAGGTTGTGGTGTTTTGCTTACATTCAAGTCCCAGACAGTTAATACCTGCATGACATCTCTGCCCAGTCCCACACAATGTTGGATTCTTAACCCCATGTTATACAATAGTAAACTTATTACTTCCTATAAGAGTAAATTCTCCTTAGCAATTAAAGACAAAGACATGTAACGAACTATAGAATGTCATGTTATCTGCCTTTTTGTACTTGCTCCTGATAACCTATATAAAGAACTGGTAACCTCAAACAGGGATAGTGATTTGAACCTCTGGCTTCCCCAGCCTGCTAACATAATAAAGCACCTTGTAAAGTTCCTCTGGTGCTGTTGTCTTCCATTTGATCTGGTCGAATTCCGCAGCAACAGAGTAAATGGCATTAACTTTATTTTTTCCCCTTAAAGCCAGAAGAGGAAAAATCCTGCATACATTCTTCCTTTAATGATCAACCTGTTTAACACCTGTTCCAGTTTATAATTGTAATGCACTGTTCAGATATATGACCCAGCACCCAGCCTTACAACCCATATTTTTGTGCAGTTCTTTACATTTTTTGTACAACCTCAATATCTTTTTTGTACAGTATATCTTATTTATATATTATTGTAATTTCTGCTGATTTTCTACACAGTACGGTACTGTGGGGTTTTTTCTGTGAAACTTTACAGTACTGCATGTTAAGAGTTGTGCAAATAAAAGCAAAGTCATCAGGTTGGCATTCCCTTTGACCATTTCTTTGTTGTGAATATTGTAATGTATGCACTGTGTACAATTCCTCATTTAAGAACCAATTCAGTGACCCAGTCACAGGCACAGAATTCGATTAATAAGGAATGCCTGCAGCTGGCAAACAACATAGATTCCACCCATAAGTTTCAGCCCATTCTGCTGAGTTTATTGTTAGCCACAGCAAAGTCATACAATTGGAGTCATTCACAAGAAAATCTGTTCTAAATCTCAGTGTATTTAAGTATGAAATTTAAATACATGACGAGACAATAAACATAAGATGATGCTGCAGCTGGCGTAGAGGAGCATACTGTTGTGTGACAGCCTTTTTACATAGTTTAAAGACTACATCCTAAAATAGTAAAAAAAAAAAAAGTTCTGGCATAATAAATATATAAATCAGTATCCTAGTTATTATCAAGTATTATGTACTACATATAAATCTTACATTTTTATATGTCTGATACTACAGTAGAGTTGTTTACATGAGTAGGCTTACGAACAGGTGAGTAATGCATTGCACCCTAATATTATGATGCCTGTAGCATTGCTAGACAATAGAAATTTTAGCCCCAGCATAATTTCATAGGATGAACATTCTATATGTGATGTGTTGTTGACTGAAACATTGTTACCCAGGGCATGACTGTGTATATGCAATCGCCTATAGGTGTGTATGTGTGCCTAATGTGTGTGTGTGTGTGTGTGTGTGTGTGTGTGTTCGCATGTGTATCTGAGTGCATTGTCTGTCATGTTGCCAAGCTCATAATCAGATCTTGATGTATGACAGGTATGATATAGAATGTGATTTTCATGACAACTCATTGAAGAAGGAGTTTCTTATCCTAATTTAACAATGAGTAAATTGAGGCTCAAAGAGGACTTACGTAATCCCAAAATTATGGTACCAATTAATGGAAGATACTATGCAGAGTTGAGTCTTGGAAAGGAAGTGAAGGTTCTAATAAAGCAAGGTAATAATAAGTTTTGTTGTTTGCTATGAAAGTTTAAAGATAATAGTGAGAAAAGTCATTATGCCATTACTTTTTCAAGAATATATATATAATTAGTCTATAAATGCATCTTTAGCCTAGACAAGTAAGAATATGATTAAGAGATGAAGCGAATGCTGTGGAAATAATGAAAGTAGCTGAGGCTTCAGCATCGTCTTAGGTAGAGAGACTGTCTAAAAGCCCCAGAGAGCAAGAAACGTAAGATACTTAGTGAAGGGTGGCTAATTACAGCCATATAGGAGGGTATGAAATAAGATTAAGAGTACAGCTGAAATACCACTGCCTTTGACGTAGAAGACATATGTAAGTAGATGAATATGGAGACTGATATTTTGAAGAGTAGGGGAGGAGCAAAGAAGGTGTTAGCTGTAAAGGAGGTGTTGTTAAATGCTTAACATTCCTTTGTGCAGTGAAAGAATTGGGTTGCTCTGACAGCTTGTGAAGGATGGAAGTGACTTAGAGCAGAATCAATGGAAACACGTCAGATAACAATGTTTGGGAGCTGTTAAACCTGGAAATTGATCCTATGTGGGAGGGCAGCATGAGTCTTCATTGCCTAAAGCAGTCAAGCTACCTCACTGTTGAGAAAAATATCCTGCCTGGACATTGTGGGCTATTAGTTGCTAGGCAACCTAGTTCCTTATAACTTTGCAAAGGTATAAGTAAAAGCCCCTACTGTTGTTCTGTTGTCCTTTGCCAATCAGACAAGGTCCACCACCTGACCTCAGCTATTATCTCTTGTCTTTATTTTCTAAACCCTCTCTCGATTTTCTCCTGGGAACCACCAAGAGATGAACAAATCCCTGCACAACAATGGACATAAAGATTGGTGACCAGATAGCTCAAGCAGATTAAAGCACCTGCCTAGGCAGATGCAGTGACTAGGGTTTGATCCCATGTGCCATGCCAGCCCTGCCCCCAGGGCACACTGACAGGGACATTGAGACTGGGCGTGGTGGCACGCACCTGTAATCCCAGCTCTTGGGACCCTGTAGACCCTGTAGACCCTTACTAAAAAATACAAAAGAAAAAGAAAGAAAGAAAAGAAAAGAGAAAGAAAAATTGGTGGCACGTAGACAAACTTAGCCCTAGATTTTAAAGGGCGAGTTAGTACCATGCTATGTATTACTCTCAAAATCCATTAAGATATTCAATAAAAATTGATGAACAGTGACTTTATGGTAGGATGTGAGTACATCAGAGATTTGAGAGATTTAAGAAGACTATAAATGTTTTGTCAGAAGGTAGAAAGGCTTAGGAGAGAGCAGAATACATTCCAGAAAGTTATGATAGACTTGCAAGATGCAAACATTTACATGTTTAGAGTTTAGACAAAATATAGACTCAGGAGGCATGAAGAATATAAACAATTGTTTAAGACTTCTGTGGCCAGAAGGCAAAGTGACAGACATAATTGTTTAGGGGTAGGGCTGAAATAATGATCTTTGGTTGTACCCAACTATAAAACTAATGAAGGATGGATGCAGACTAAGTTCTCTGGATTCAAAAGTGTAAGAAAGATTGAGGTCAAGAGGTTGGGTGTGAGGTTGCTTTTTGCCTTTAGTAGCTATTTATAGAAAGAGAATTTTCCAGCTGCAGAGTGAGGCACAAAGTAGGGAGGGGAGACTTTGGGGGTGAGAAATGAAGCCTGCAAACAAAACGTGGCCAACTGGAAGTTGGAGGCTGTTTTGTTTTTTTTTAATTCCTCTTTATATTCCTGTAGGGAGCAGTGATAGATGTTTGAGCCTGGTGGGAGAGGATCACCATGAC